CACACACACACACACACACCATTCACACACACACACACACACACACACACACACCATTCACAATAGCTAATCACAAGATTAAATACTTGGGAGTAAATCAAAACAGAAGCACAAAGGATCTATTCAAAGAAAATTACAAAACATTACTATAAGAAACAAAAAGAGACCTGGAGAAGTGGAAGAATATCCCTTGCTCATGGATAGGAAGATTCAATATTGTGAAAATGGCAATCCGACCAAAGGCAATTTACATGTTCAACACAATCCCAATACAAATTCCAATCCCAGTCTTCAATGAAATGGAAAAGGCTATCTCCAGCTTCATTTGGAATGGAAAGAAGCCCCGAGTAAACAAAGCACTCCTTAAAAATAGAAGAAAGGTAGGAGGTATCTCACTCCATGATTTCAAATCCTACTACACTACAGTGATGGTTAAGATAGCATGGTACTGGTACAATGAAAGACACATAGATCAATGGAATAGAATTGAGAACCCGGAAATCAACCCATCTATCTGTGGCCAACTGATGAAATTAGTTAAGTGGGGAAATGACAGCCTTTTAAACAAATGGTGTTGGCAAAACTGGAAAAGTATCTACAAAAGACTCAAGCAAGATCCACACATCACACCATATACAAAAACCAGCTCACAGTGGATCATGGACCTAGGACTAAAACCAAGGTCTATAAGCTTCATTACAGAAAACCTAGGAACAATGCTAGAAGTCCTAATTCACAACATAAACAGTCTTCCAAGTATCCTGAAAAACCTACAACCAGGAGAAGATAAAATAGATGAGTGGAATCTTCTAAGAATCAAATGCCTATGCACATCCAAAAATGTCTCCACCAGGGTAAAAAGCGAAGCCACAGACTGGGAAAAAGTATTTGGTAATGACATATCAGATAAGGGACTTATATCCAGAATTTATAAAATACATGAGCATCACAAGATAAAGGTAAATAATCCAATAGAAAAATGAGCACAGGATATGAGCAGACACTTCACCGAAGAAGAGATTCAGATGGCTAACAAGTAAGAAATGTTTAAAATTCCTAGCTCTAAGAGAGATGCAAATTAAAACAACTATGAGATACCATCTCACCCCAGTCAGAATAGCAAAATTTAACAGAACAGCAAGCAACAAATGCTGGCGAGGTTGTGGAGAGACTGGAACACTTATTCAGTGTTGGTGGGAGTGTAAAATGGTACAACCACTGTGGAAGGTGGTGTGGCGCTTTCTCAAAAAGTTGCAAATAGAGATACCATTTGACCCAGCAGTTCCACTACTGGGAATATATCCCAAAGAGACCATAACTGACATCCAAACAGATATATGCACATCCATGTTTATCACGGTTTTGTTCACAATAGCAAGGACTTGGAAA